TGTTAAAGACCAAAGCATCACCTACTCTCAAATTCATAACAGATATTTACAAATCATTTAAAATCCAGATTCAAGGCAAAACACAAAGTACACAAAAGTAGCACACCACAATAATATGGCACACTGTTAAAGTGATATTTTAAGGCCTCCCTCAGCCATATAGCTCCTTGATGGACTTTAGTTACTGTCCTTGTGTCTGGCTGTTCAAAATCAGCAGACAGTCTTTCCACTTCCCCACTCCACCCTGACAGTAAAGTTTCCCCTTCCCTTCACTTCACAAATATTATGCAATATTATTCTACAACAAGAATAGTTGCCTTACTGAGATCCAGCCTTCCCATGAGACATCGCCAGAGGCCTTTCAACCTAGCAAAAGCACATTCAACAGTCATCCTGCACCTGCTCAGACACTAGGTAACTCTCCTTGCTAATGTACGGGCATCCAGTGTATGGTTTCATAAACAAGGGAAGCAAAGGATAGGCTGGTTCCCCCAGAATCACTATTAGCATTTCAACCCCACCCAAATGAATGTGTCAGTCTGGGAAGTATGTCCATGCTTGCCAGGGCCGGCTCCAGCTTTTTTGCCGCCCCAAGCGGGGTGGGGTGGGGTGGTAAAGAGAGAGATATAACCGCGATTGGCGACACTTCGGCAGCAGCTCTATCGCACCGCTTCATTCTTCGGCGGCGGGTCTTTCGCTCGGAGAGGCACTGAGGAACCTGCCGCCGAAGACCCGGACGTGCCGCCCCTTTCCATTGGCTGCCCCAAGCACCTGCTTTCTTCGCTGGTGCCTGGAGCCGGCCCTGATGCTTGCATCTTTTGGAAAAGTCCAGTATACCTCAAAATGCAAGTGTCACATACACACACTGTCCATCCAACAACGTCAGTGAAATGTCCCCAGTGATCTATCAGTATTTGCACAGCCATGGAAAAGTACCCTTTCTGCTCATGTACTCAGTGGCAAGGTGGGATGGCCCAGAACTGGAATTTGCATCTCCTCTATCACCCTGCACACACTTTTGGGGTGGGAGGGGGGTGGGGGGGAAATGGACATTGCTTCAAATCCTCCTTCTATTTCTTGCATGTTCCCCAGAGTCTCAATACTGTGCAGCACAAAAGGCTTCATGGCCTTGCACACCAGGATGACAACTGCCCCCACAGTAGATTTTAAAATTCTGAACTGATTGCCCACAGCCCAAAAGTAGTATGAGGCTACAAGCTTCCAGAGCATGATTGCTAGATGCTTTTCCACTGTCAAAGCAGCTCTCATTCTGGTGTCTCTGCACTGGATGGCTGGGACATAGCCTCCCACATCTCAAAGTTTTGCAGCCACCGCTGATTGCCACAGATCTGTATCACAATGTGATGTGTTCCACCGCTCAGTGCTTGTTTCTTGGTCCAAAAATGCTGATCCACTGTGTGGTGCTGATCAACAAATGTCTGAAGCATCCTGAAGTTTCTATGCACTGTCCACATCATTCACTCATCCACCTCAGTGCATCCTGTCTCATCTTCATCAAAGCACCACTGTTCACTGTTACAGTGGCGGTCACTGAAGTTCTGCAAATACAGAATAATCACGTCCTGTCTCTAAAACCAGACACGAGAGCTCCGCTTAACTGTTCTGGATCCATATTTCTAATAGCGAGAAGGCAAAGAGAACAAAACCAGTACAAGGAACAGTGGGAATTTTTAAAAAGACATGAACATGATCATCTAAGAAGAAGCTTTAGGGAATGCAAGAAAGGAAATTGTAGGAACTTGACCCCGAGCTCCCATAATTCCCCGAGTGAAGTGCGGGTGTTCCACAATGCATTGCAAAAATGTTCTGCAAAGCACTGTGCTGGACAGTGATGTAGAGATATGGGGATGCCTATACATAGTGCACCACAGCTTCTGCCAATATAACCTCTTATATGTGATGCAAGCAAAAACAGCCAAGAGTGCATGTACTCTAGCAACATCAGCAACTGCAAGGCAGCAGAAGTTCTAGTGTAGAGATGACCTGAGCTGAGTTGTTAATATAAACAAGAGCAAGACCTGGTGTATTTATAATACTTAGGCTGCTTGAATCAGAAAATAATCTTAGGAAAAAATGTGCAGGTTTACCTTAAGGGTCTTTAGAATAAGTTGCAAGGACTTTTCATTCACTAGCTACAGTTTGAAGAATCGTAAGCATGCTTCACATCTGCTATCCCTTACATGTAAGGCAACTGATATTTATCCATGTCCTTATACACAATTATTCTGGGCAATACAACTGAGACACATCTAGCCCAGTGTTAAACGGGCAATGATGAATAAAATTACTTTTTGGGGGCACTTCTTTAAGCACCTATTAATTTGCAGACTATAAAGTCAGCTTTGCCTGTTTTGATCATCCACACACGTCTTCCTTTCTGTCTCCATTTTTAGATTTTTGGATTTACTGAACCATAAATGCTAAGGTTTCAATGAAAAACTACTCGTTAAGCACCAAATTTCCTGTTTCACTACTATATTATGTATGCAGATGGTACAACGTAGGAAGTTCTTTGATAGGACATTTTCCAAAAAGGCAATTAAAAAATATATTTAAGGCATAATACTCATAATAAATTCAGGCTGTGCATGGGACTGAACACATTCTAAGCTACACCATACTAGCGAGTGAAAAAAAAACTGCTCTCTCTATTCTTGGCTTTCACAACATCAATGCAATATAGTAGGTGCCATCAATTACAAAATAGTTTCTCAGACTGCACATACTAGTCTTTTATAGATGATCTTGGCTTGCTGCAAACAGAGTTTCTTTTAAAGGCTTATTGAAATATCAAAGAAAGGGAAAACATGTCTGAAACGGACAGCTGTAAAATCCAGTAGCAGTATCTTATCTAAGAATGAAATCATTGAAGCCCAGATACTCCGGAAAGAACTGAATAGATAATAAAAAGGACAGCTGTACAAGCAGCATCTGGGAAACCACTGCTTACTGAGAACTTGTGACAGAATGCAAAAAAGATGACCTTTGGTCAGGGATATCAAATATCAATGCAAAGGAGAAATAATTCATTGTAAAATAAACTCATTAGTTAATAGAAGGCACATCAGCAAAAAATAAAATCTAAGCAGGGTGAAAACTGAGCCCAAAGAAACATTTCTATGGATTCTCTCAGTTTTTCATCCAATTAATAGAAAACATACATTAATACAACACACAGAAAGATGGAAAGCGACTATAGTAACAATTTAAAAACAGCAACTTTTTGGGAGGGAGGGGGGAGGAGGGAAAATGGGATTTAATAAATGAAGTTAAACATACCTTTTCCAGAACTGCATGATCCACTAAACACATCAGTTTGGAACAAATGTCAGGTGCCTATTGCAAGAGAGAGCTTGGAAAGTTATATTTAAAAGGAAGTGTGACCTCATTAAATGAGATCACAAGCAGCCGCTTGAGAATCTTTGCATTCTTAAAATGGTCCATTACTGAGAAATCATGTGTTTAACATCAGTTCTGTGAAAGACAACTGTTCTAAAGGCTTAGATTTTCAGAGCATTTATGGTCATAGCCAACTCTCTATTTTATGACACTAAATTATATGTTCCCACCTCAAAAAAAAAAAAAAAAAAAAAAAAAAAAAAAAAAAAAAAAAAAAAAAAGAGAACAGGATCAGATCTGACAGAGCAAAATGTTTTCACAAAAGAGAAACCACAATTGCTTTAGTGTTCAGAGTGAACAAAAATGGAAAGATGCTAGTTAAACCCCTTATTGGAATGCTGTTGCTTTCCACCATGCAATAAGAATTACTTCAGAGGAAAGGTGAAGTGTATTTGATAAGATGGTTTTCCTAGACTTAAGGTTTTTCATCCCAAAGATTGAAAACAATCTACATTAGCATATATGTCTAAAACCCAGTGGTCAGAATTACATTTTATTTTAGAGCCTACAGATATTTTTTAAACTAGTCTTCAATGTGATAACCACAAGATACATAAAGAGCCTGACATTCCAGTCTCTTCTGATTTGCTCATGTCAAATCGCTATTCTCATTTTGACAGCTCTAACTAACAGGCACTAACATTGCTCTTTACTGTAGACGCAGACAATCTTCACAAATTTTTTTTATTATGAAACCCACCTACGTTGAAAAGCATGTCAGGGTGGGAGTGGTTAACACGGATTAAAATGGATTTCTGCAAGTGCTACCTATGTTGGTTTCCAAACTAAACCAACACTGATCTGAAAGAAGTCTTGTACTTGTATTAGTTTCCATCCTCATTCAACCCTCGGTCGCACTTATTAATGGCCAAAAACCAAACATGAAGATTTTATGTTAGAAAAACTCAGCAACAACACTGGCAGTCTGCATTATGATTTCCGTGGATGATCAAAATAGCATTCCCATATCATTCTCTCTCTCTTCATAGTGGAGATCTTTCACCATATTATGTATTAAAAAAAAATGCAAAGTGAGTTGACAGATGGTTATAAAGTTACAAGACTCATATTCCATCCATTATCTTTGGATCTCAATTATTCCTGGAAATGATATTAATTTATTCTCTGTCAGATAGATAGACAAATAAATGGTTTGTGAATATTTTAAAAGTCTGCAATGCACAGACGAGTCACAAAGAGGACATTCCAGAAAGTCTAAATACCTGCTGTAAAAATCAGGCTTTTTCAATACTGTAGAGAGGAGGAAATACAAACTGGTAGTGTCCAAACAGGTTTCATGTCTTCGGGTAAGAGGTTTCCTTGAAGAGTCCTTCACAAAATTCCAGTACTTTACCTTCCATTTGATAAAGTTCTGTCTGTGGATTACTAACATACTCATCTCATGACCTTAGTATCTAAGTAACAAGATGAAGTCTATGAAATAAATATAAATGCAATCTTTAAAGATTTTAGAAGTGGTCCCCAAAAAGGAAACAACCCACTAGTTGTTGGCAAATTTATCCAGGTGTTAGCTAGCCAGGAGGGAAAAAAACAAACACACAAACACAAACACCACTCACCAGTAGACTAGCTCCAGATTGGAATAAGTTGTAAGGATAAAGAATACGTTCATAATGGGCACGGATGTGTGAACCCACTGCCTTGCCTGGAGCAAAACCCATTCTGATGGCTATTTTCGTCCATTTTCTCTCCTTACAGACTAAGTCAAATCCACCTTCTTCTGCAACTAGCTATAAAGGAAAAATACAATGGTCACATATACAAAAATAAAGTCATTAGTGTATAAAGATCTACTGCCAGTAAAAAAAAAAAAAGTTACAAAGGAAAAAGCATTTCCTTTTGCAGCTGCTACCATATGCAATAAATACTTTAAATACAGTTTTCACATTAAGAGAATGCTGTAGCTTAAATCCTTTACTTAGCTAGTCAGAAAACTTAAAGACCTCTGAAAAAGTTTATAGATTCACAGATTCCAAGGTCAGAAGGGACCAATTGTGATGATCTGAATTGTTGTATAACACAGGTCACACAACTTCCCCAAAATAATGCTTTACAATATGCACCAGAAGGGAAGATTAGATGCAGGTTTATAGTTCAGACTAGTTGGAGGATTCTCTCAGGCTGCATTTCTAAGGCTCTACTACTGAATTAGCTATCCAACACTACTTTTTAGTGCAATATAACCCGCTCTTGTCGTGAATCCATTTCACAGAATATGTCTCAAGGCGTTAAATCATATATTAAAAACCCTCTAATGAAGTAGCTTACTAAAGACGACTTGACTTCAGTCGAGGAACAGAAGTAATATGACATCTTTTGCAGGAAAACAAGCTATTTAAAAAAATAGTCTTACCCTATTAAGTTGAAATAAATCCAAGATCTTCCTCTCTACATGTGGAATTTTCAGTGTACATCCTTGGAGCTCCCAAAACTTTGCAATCTGGTCCAGAAAATTCAGCTTCACACGGGTCTGAGCCTAACAGAAGACAGTCTGCTTTCAATATGCAGTTCAATTTAGCTTCCACTTCCCAATGTTTTCAATATTACAACATTTTCAAGTTCAGATCTTCGGTTATGTTCCAAAATCCCTCTTTAAATGTATTTGCACCTAGTATAATAAAGCTAGACATGACTGGCTTCCTTTCATTTTTGTTTATTTGGGAAAGATGCTGGATTGACTGCATTGAAATTGAAGTTCTCCAGATATCTAGACGTATAGCCTTGTCAATGTGCTTGAACTCTATCATAGATTGATCACATTTGTTTGGGAAAGGAAACTTCTGTCTCCACTGGGCCTTTGGCATCCCGGCTAATACCACCAATTGTGATTTCAATTTCAATGTATCCACCATTTGAAGGCAATGACTGGAATCAGTTGTTTTAAAAAAGACTCGCTATTCAATCTTAAGAGCCAGTGTCACCTCCTCTATATTCTCTGCGTTAGACCTGATCCATCCTCAGTAATGATGTTCACTGGCTCTGTTAGGAAACCTATCCACTCCAAAGGACTAGATCACTGAGGCAAGAAGCACAGCGGAGGACCTACAGAGTGGCAAACCTTCCCCACTCACAGATGTGCACAGGCAATGGTGAGAGCAACCTTACTCCTCCTTTGCTGGAGTAAGAAGCAGCACCAGTCCCGCCAGTAGTAAATTCTGTAACTAGGTCCCTGGGCATTAGAGGGATGGGGTAATGTGGCATGCCCCAACAGGACCCCTTCCTGCACCCCTCCTCCCAAAAGAGCTACAGATTCATTTCTGATGCAGATTTGTGGATTTACCCAAATACAAATTAATGAGATTTACTACATGGATTAATTTCCTTCTGTGAGGGGATTCATCTTTCAAGTCATCTTCACAAATTGTCTTTAAAGTTACTGAATCTACACTGTATCTGTAGTGAACACTGGTCAAATAAACAGAACCTTTGGCTGCCAAAAATGTTTTCTCCCCTACCACATAATGCATTTGCCAGTACATGTTTTACTGCAAAACATGGGGGGGAGGGGAGGGATAGGTCAGTAGTTTGAGCATTGGCCTGCTAAACCCAGGGTTGTGAGTTCAATCCTTGAGGGGGCCACTTAGGAATCTGGGGCAAAATCAGTACTTGGTCCTGCTAGAGAAGGCAGGGGGCTGGACTTGATGACCTTTCAGGGTCCCTTCCAGTTCTATGAGATAGGTATATCTCCATATGTTATAAAACTAGCAACCAGTAACTTTAAAAAAAAAAAAAAATCATACTCTGAATCAGACAGGTAAGTGCCAGATGAATAATGGTCTAAACTCTAATAAAACCCTAATTCTATCAAAATACATTTTTTTTATTTTTATCACCACAAAGTGTCTACAAGAACTGAGCTGTGATTCATCTTATATTAGCTGGAATCAGAGCTCTACCTTTGAGCTTAGAAAACATTTGCTGATATTTTAAACCCTATGAAACTTAGAATAAGTTGTTATCCATACCAATCTGGTCCACTTCCATTTGATAAAAAATTATTCCACCCTCAAAGAGAACTTTAACATTACATTTCAGCAGACTTATGTGTTTAGACGCTACACCATCATTAACATCAACGAGACCTGGTACAGAGTTAGGCCTGGTCTACACTAGGAGGTTATGTCGAATTTAGCAGCGTTAAATCGAATTAACCCTGCACCCATCCACACAACGAAGCTATTTATCTCGACACAGTGATCTCTTTAAATCGATTTCTGTACTCCTCCCCGACGAGGGGAGTAGCGCTAAATTCGACATGGCCATGTCGAATTAGGGTAGGTGTGGATGGAATTCGACGCTAATAGCTCCGGGAGCTATCCCACAGTGCACCACTCTGTTGACACTCTGGACAGCAGTCCGAGCTCGGATGCTCTGACCAGCCACACAGGAAATGCCTCGGGAAAATTTGAATTCCTTTTCCTGTCTGGCCAGTTTGAATCTCATTTCCTGTTTGGACATCGTGGCAAGCTCAGCAGCACTGGCAACGATGCAGAGCTCTCCAGCAGAGGTGACCATGCAATCGCAGAATAGAAAGAGGGCCCCAGCATGGACTGATCGTGAAGTCTTGGATCTGATCACTGTGTGGGGCGATGAGTCCGTGCTTTCGGAGCTGCGATCGAAAAAACGGAATGCGAAGATCTACGAGAAGATCTCCAAAGCCATGACGGAGAGAGGATACAGCCGGGATGCAACGCAGTGCCACTTGAAAATCAAGGACCTGAGACAAGGCTACCAGAAGACCAAAGCGGCAAACGGATGCTCCGGATTCCAGCCTCACACATGCCGTTTCTACGAGGCACTGCATTCCATTCTAGGTGCGGCCGCCACCACTACCCCACCACTGACCGTGGACTCCGACGATGGGGTATTGTCGACGGCCGCTTCCTCGGAAATGTTCACGGACGGGGAAGATGAGGAAGGAGATGAGGAGGACGAGGCAGTCGACAGCGCTTACAATGCTGATTTCCCCGACAGCCAGGATCTCTTCATCACCCTCACGGAGATCCCCTACCAACCCTCCCAAGGCGTTAACCGTGACCCTGAATCAGGGGAAGGATCAGTCGGTAAGTGTTTTAAACATGTAAACATTTATTTTGAACAGAACAGGAATGGAATATTAACAATGGGTATTTCATGATTACTTTGCCCTAGGCGCTCTACTTTTTAGTCCTTGCCAGTGCAGCTACTGGAAAATTATGTCAATATGTCCGGGGATAGAGCAGAAATCCTCCTGGGACATCTCCACGAAGCTCTCCTGGAGGTAATTTGAAAGCCTTTGCATCAGGTTCCTGGGGAGAGCAGCCTTATTGCGTCCTCCATGGTAGGAAACTTTTCCGCGCCAGGCTAGCAGCAAGTACTCCGGGATCAGTGCCTCACACAGCATGGCGGCATACGGACCTGGTTTTTGCTGGCATTCACGCAGCATGCGGTCTTTCTCTGTGTCCGAAATCCTCATCAGAGTGATATCGCTCATGGTGACCTGCTTTAAATTAGGGGAATGTTAGTATTGGGACTGATTGCCTGTTCCTTTACATAACTGTAACCGGCCGTTTACAGCCACGCGGTGGAGGCGGGACAGGGGCAGCATACAGGGATCTTTCCTGGGGACGGCCACGAGGGGAGTGGGACAGGGGCAGAGTTCATGCTGGCCAGATTGCCGGCAGCAGGAACTGGCCAACGCTAGAGGCATAGCTTTGAACGTGAAAGGAGGGCACTGCTATAAATTACGCTTTCAGCAGCCAAAAGTCTATGGCTTACCATGTCCGCCTGCTATCCGAATTCCGCTGTCCTGCCCCGCTTGTGTGATCTGTTCTCCAAGACCCCAGGCACTGAATGGGAAGGCCGAAAATTCGACCTTGTCCTGAGTGCACATGTGATAGGTGCTGTGCATGGTCTTGTTCACAGAGAACTAGGTTCATTGTTCATAAAAATGTATCTTTGTGAGGAATTCACTCCCTTTTTCCCATCCCACAGCTGCGAGTGTCTCCCGAGCTACCCCGGCATCTCCCTCCCAGAGGCTGGCGCAGATTAGGCGGCAAAAGAGAAGGACACGGGACGAGATGTTCTCAGAATTTATGGGCTGCTCCCAAGCCGAGGCGGCACAGCAGACCCAGTGGAGGGAGAACATGTCGCAATACCAGCGATCACACAGCGAACGGGAGGACAGGTGGCGGCAGGAAGACCAGCAGGCGACTCAAATGCTGCTTGGACTAATGAGGGAGCAAACGGACACGCTCCGGCGCCTTGTAGATGTTCTGCAGGACCGGAGGCAGGAGGACAGAGCCCCGCTGCAGTCTCTCTCTAACCGCCCTCCCCCGCCACAAAGTCCCAAGAAGGAGGGGCGGCAGGGGCCGTGAAAACAGTCACTCCACCCCTGCAGACTGCTCAAGTACCAGAAGGCTCTCATTCCCAAAGATTTGATAAATCCTTTCCTTCACTCCAAAAGCACCTCACCCAAGCCCCCGTCCCAGTTTCATCCCCTGTCTAGTTGTTAATAAAAAATACGTTTCTGTTAATTACTGTTTCCGTCATGTTCTTTTAGAGGACAGTGTGTTTGAAGGGGGGAAAGGGGGTTGGTAATTGGAGAGGACAGTTACCTTTACCAGGGTACAGACAAGGGGGCAGGTTCAGGAGCAGGTCACACACACATTGCAGTCACTAGGCACCCTGGTCAGTCTGGGAGGTGGTTTTCATGTTCTGTGGGGGGGGGGAGGCGATGTGAGTTTGTGGCGGGGGAGGGCGGTTACAGATCTTATGCAGCGGTCCTTAGCCTGGATGACAGAGCCACGCAGCAGGGGATCTGTAACCGTCCTCCCCCGCCACAAAGTCACATAGCCCCCACACAAAGAGTCCCGAAAAGGAGGGGTGGCAGGCTCCGTTGAAACAGCCAGTCCACCACTGCGGACCGCTCTAGGAGCAGGAGCCTGTCATTCCTCGAGTTTCAACCCTTTACCACGAAACCCTTAATAAAGAAAAAACGGTGTTAATGAACAAAGTTCCATTTATTTAATTTTTAAAGGTGTGTTGGAAGGGGGGCAACAGGGTGAAGGGGGTATGTAACTGGAGAGGATAGTCAACATTAAGTGGGTAAAGAAACGGGGGCAGGTTCAACTTCTCTTTAAACAAACTTAATAGGTCACAGGTTATCCTGCTCACTGTGGAACCTAGCTTTCAAAACCTCCCGGATGCACAGCGCGTCCCGCTGGGCTCTTCTAATCGCCCGGCTGTCTGGCTGGGCGTAATCAGCAGCCAGGCGATGTGCCTCAACCTCCCACCCCGCCATAAACGTCTCCCCCTTGCTCTCACAGAGATTGTGGAGCACACAGCAAGCTGCAATAACAATGGGGATATTGGTTTCACTGAGATCAGAGCGACTGAGTAAGCTTCTCCATCTCCCCTTCAGACGTCCAAAAGCACACTCCACCACCATTCTGCACTTGCTCAGCCGGTAGTTGAAGAGTTCTTTTTCACTGTCCAGGGCACCTGTATAGGGCTTCATGAGCCAGGGCATTAGCGGGTAGGCTGGGTCCCCAAGGATCACTATAGGCAACTCCACATCCCCAACAGTTATTTTGTGGTCCGGGAAGTAAATACCTTCCTGCAGCCGTCTAAACAGACCAGAGTTCCTGAAAACACGAGCGTCATGAACCTTGCCCGGCCATCCGAAGTTGATGTTGGTAAAACATCCCCTATGGTCCACCAGTGCTTGCAGCACCATTGAAAAGTAGCCCTTTCTGTTAATGTACTGGCTGGCCTGGTGGTCCAGTCCCAGGATAGGGATGTGAGTTCCATCTATAGCCCCACTGCAGTTTGGGAATCCCATCGCGGCGAAGCCATCTATGATGACCTGCATGTTTCCCAGGGTCACTACCTTTGAGAGCAGTACCTCAACGATTGCGTTGGCTACTTGCATCACAGCAACCCCCACGGTAGATTTGCCCACGCCAAAGTGGTTCGTGACTGACCGGTAGCTGTCTGGCGTTGCAAGCTTCCAGAGGGCTATCGCCACTCGCTTCTGGACAGTCAGGGCTGCTCGCATCCGGGTGTCCTTGCGCTTCAGGGCAGGGGACAGCAACTCACAAAGTTCCAGGAAAGTTTCCTTATGCATGCGAAAGTTTCGCAGCCACTGTGATTCATCCCAGACCTGCAGCACTATGCGGTCCCACCAGTCCGTGATTGTTTCCCGGGCCCAGAATCGCCGTTCCACACCATCAACATGACCCATTGCCACCATGATGTCCACGGCGCGGGGTCCCGTGCTTTGCGAGAGGTCTGTGCCCCTCTCAGACTTAATGTCCTCACCGCGCTGCCGTAGCCTCCTCGCCCGATTTCTCAGCATCTGCCTCTGAAAAAGGTGGATGATAAGGTGCGAGGTGTTGACAATGGCCATAACTGCAGCGATGATCGCAGCGGGGGGCTCCATGCTCGCAGTGCTGTGGTGTCCGCGCGGTCACTCACCAGAAAAGTGCGCGAACTGATTGCCTGCCGGCGCTTTCAGGGAGGGAGGGCGGGAGTGACGGTTGAATGACGACAGTTACCCAAAACCACCCTCGACACATTTTTTTCCCCAGCAGGCATTGGGGGCTTGACCCAGAATTCCAATGGGAAGCGGGGACTGCGGGAACTGTGGGATAGCTGCCCACAGTGCACCGCTTCCAATGTCGACGCTTGCCCCGTTAGTGTGGGCTCACAAAGTCGAATTACTGTTCGTAGTGTGGATACACACGTTCGACTTTATAATATCGGTTCCACTAATTCGATTTAAGTAAAATCGAACTACTCTCATAGTGTAGACATACCCTTAGTTAACATTCCTTCTGTTAGTTCAGCAGCATAGTATGAAATCGATCTTCTACTCTGGGCTTTTCTGAAAAGTGGTAATGCTACTTTAAAGTTGCAATGAACTTATGAATCCCACAGAACCCCATATATGAAACTGCCCTCTTGTTGACTATGCCTGCGGAGAATCAACTTTCCAAGGCAGCTTTTAAAGATTTAAAATTCATGTCAGTTTTAAAATGCCTTTCGGCACAGGGAATAGGCACAATCAATGCAAAAATAAACATTTTTAAACTTAAAAGAAGCTTTCAAAAATTCAGACTAAGCAACTGGCTTCAAAGTGGTCAATCCAGTGACATAATGCAGGATTTTGCTGTTTGGCCAACAAGTTTGTCATACTTAATGACAGGTTATTACATACAATTCTTGGAGACAAAGTGACAGAAAATGATTAAGGGCACGGCTACACTAGAGAGTCTCCCGCCGACATAGCGCTATCCATACCTGTAATTACGTTGCTTGGGGTGGGGTCATCTATTCACACCCCTGAGCGACATATATGTTATGCCAACATAGGCTATGTCTACACTTAAGTTTAAGAACATCTTCCTGGCTCATCACCGGTTTTCACTCAAATTTTTCTCAAGCATGTGCAGAATGAATTTTGTTATGTGCAGCAATATGGAGGTGATGTGTTACACACCACCTCCATATTGGCAAACATAACAAAATTCATGTGGCGAGAGTGGGACCAAGGGGTTCGGAGTGTGGGAGGGGGCTCAGGGCTGGGCAGAGGGTTGGGGTGAGGGGAGAGTGAGGGTTCCGGCTGGGGGTGTGGGCTCTGGGGTGGGGCTGGGGATGAGGAGTTTGGGGTGCAGGCTACCCCAGGGCTATAGTGGGGGAGAGAGGACTCCCCCCTGCTCTCTCCCCCCACAGCAGCACCTGGGCTGGGGGGGGGGGGGGGGGGGAAGAGGCACCCCTCCCCCAGCCGCAGCAGGTCCAGGCCGGGGCTGGGTTGAGGCCGGGGAGGGATGCCTCTCCCTTGGCCGCAGCAGGTCTGGGGCTGCGGCGGCGCGGGGGGCGCCTCTCTCCTGGCTGCAGCAGGTCCGGGGGAGGGGCATCTCTCCCTGCCACAGCCCTGAACGCCTATGTGGTGCTGAATAGGCTGCTGCACAGCTTAGAGGGAATTAAGTTCATCACTAGCTGTCTATTCCCTGCATCTAATCCCTTCACTGCTCCCTTTCTCCACCACAAACTTATTGTGCTGACCTTCCAAGCTCTTCATATAAGCCTTCCCTTTTCTGAACTATTATCTTTCCAAGAGGCTGAGTCCTGCCACCTTCCCTCTGCCATCTATGCCAGCCTCGTCCACTTCTCCCACAGGGACCTCTGCACTGTCTCCCCTAAAGTCCCTTACTCCCAGTGGAAAATTCTAAAGCCACCAGCTTATCCTCCCTCACGTCCCTCCTCAAAGCTCACACACCATAATGCATAAAGAATACTACCATCTCAAAACAGCAAGGCAGGTGATGAGTTATTACTGCTACTGACCAGCTAAAAGTTGCCCACAGAACTAATCCATGCTAAATTATATTACTTTTGTTATCAACGTCTTTCCTCACCCCTAACCACTTGTCTCATTTTTATGAATGTAAGACCTTCAGGGCAGGGACTGTCATTTACTATATGTTTGTACAGTGCTTTAGCACAATGGGAGCCTGACCTGGTTGAGGTTTCTAGGCACTTCTGCAATACAAATGTTAAACTAGGGCTGTTGATTAATCGCAGTTAACTCAAAAAGGAATATGTAGAGAATATGTAAAAGAATAAATGTACATAAATCGGACATCCTTAATGGTAACATACAAAAGCCAGTAGGAGAACACTTCAATCTTCCTGGACATTCTATTACAGATTTAAAAGTAGCCATAGCTGAACAAAAAAACTTCAGAAACAGATTTCAAAGCGAAACTGCAGAACCAAAATTCATTTGCAAATTTAATACCATTAATTTGGGCCTGAATAGGGACTGGGAGTGGCTGGCTCACTACAGAAGTAGTTTTTCCTCTCCTGGAGTTGACACCTCCTCATCAATTGTTGGGAGCGAACTACATCCACCCTGATTGTATTGGCCCTGTCAACACTGGTTCTCCATTTGTGAGGTAACTCCCTTCTCTTCATGTGTCAGTATAATAACGCCTGCATCTGTAATTCTCACTCCATGCATCTGAAGAAGTGGGTTTTTTACCCACAAAAGCTTATGCCCAAATAAATCTGTTAAGTCTTTACGGTGCCACCGGAGTCCTTGTTGTTTCTGTGGATACAGACTAACATGGCTACCCCCTGATACTATGACCTAAAGTGTCAACTGACATCAGTGGGAGCCACAGTGCGTCAACACCATGGAGTATCCATCCCAGTGTTATTTTTAAAAATATTTATTGTTTTATTAAATGCAGTTTGGAGCAAAGGTGACCTTTTGCTTCATTGCACATGCTAAAGAATGAACTACTTTGAACATATTTACTCCTTCAAGAGGACTAATGTTAATGGCATCAGTTTCTGACACTACCTCCAATTCATTCAGCCTCTGGATCCGTGGAGTAAAATGAAGTTTATCGACATCACATGCAAATGGTGGCTGCCAGTCCTGGGGAAAGAGAAAAGTTTCAGTAAACACAATAGGAAAATTCAATACATTCTTTGTGTTTACAAGCTAGATACACCTAAAGTTAAAACAAAGCCAAACCTAAAGACAGCCTCACTTCTCCTCCATTTTCAAATGTGAAGAAATCTAATATTTTCCCCAAATGATCTCACAATACTCAAACACCTCAACACACACATTCACTCACTAAAAGTAAGAAAAAGCACAGCACTTTACAATGCTGTCTTCTAAAAATTTGAAGTTTTTTATTCAGGTTTGATTCTTTTTGCTTTCATTAAGAAATTATATTCATTGTGTCTTTAAATAGATTGTTTTGACATGTAATGAAATAGGTCTTCCATTGATACTCTGAAACTAAAGATGTAACTCACAAAGATTAGCCTTTAATCTCAGAGACAGATAGAGACATACACAAATCAGTCCATCTTCCTACTATGTCTCTGTTTGGTAGCAGAAGGCGAGAAGGGTAATACATGTCCCAGAGTTAGGATGCCCACTGTAACTAAGGTCACATTCCAAAATGGGAATCATGCATCAGCTAGAGATCTTGTCTGTCAAGCAGAGATAGTAGGTGTCTTTGGCAGAGCCTACTGTGCCATTTCCTTCATACAGGAAAAGGCCCTCGTGGTGGAGAGAACATAGTTACAACCTCCAGACACAATCTGTTCAAATGTTACATATGCTACTTATTTGTTTTTTCCTATTAGGAATTTTTGCTCTCAACATATAAATTAAACAGGTTCGTTGGCCACAAAACCAACTGCAATGCACAGTATTGAGTGTACAGTATTCCTGAAAAGGCAATTAGCTGGAATCAGAGACTTAAAATGCTCAGGAGACACATAAGCACATCAGGTAAATAGTTTCTTTGCTTCTCATACCTCATAGACTTTAAGATCAGAAGGGACCAGCATGATCATCTAGCCTGAGCTCCTGTACATTGCAAGACCACAGAACCTTACCCACCCACTCCTGTAATAGACCCCTTACCTCAGATTGAGTTACTGAAGTCCTCAAATAACGGTTTAAAAAGACTTCAAGTTACAGAGAACCCACCATTTACACCAGTTTAAACCTGCAAGTGCCCCAGACCCCATGCTTCAGAGGAAGGGGTTTTTTTTTGTTTGTTTGTTTGTTTGTTTTAAAACAGGGTCTCTGCCTGATCTCCTAGCAACAGCAGCTATGTGGTCAACCAAAAATAACTACTTCAGGAGTACCTTGTTTAAAAATATTCAGAAACAGCTGAAATATATCTAACAAGAAAACACACGCACACCACCACTCTTACTTCGACAGAGATCATCTAAAGTTGGTGGGTAGCATTTACATAAGATAACAAAGCAATCTCTCAGACCGCTGACATTTGTCACATGCAGTGTAGTTATAGCCATATGTGTCTAATATTCTGGGACTGACAAGGTGGGTGAAGTAATATCTCTTATTGGACCAATAAAAATATTACTTCACCCACCTCGTCTCACCTATATCACAGCCAGTTGGTGTGGCAGTATAAAGTTTATTTAGTAGAACCAAATTAAGCTTAGTTTAAATCTGATACCAATTTCTTACATATCAAAGTATCTTTTTTTTCCTTTGTAATTATAGAAGGATAATAATGGTAATAGAACTTCTGATATTGAAGCGACAGTATCATTTACCAGGGAAGATCATATTTGCCTTTTCTCAATGACTCCCTGTGGATTAGGCAAATTCAAAATCAGTATCATGGGCAGTATGTTTGTTATTTTAGCAGGAACATTTAACATGAAAACTGTTATAGTCTCAAACCCAATCTCCATCGATTTTCAAGACTTTTTCACTATTATAGTGATGTCACATGCATTAGGGTTTCTTTACTATTATTACTTTTGATTTATACCCTTAATTTGGCATAACTGTGCAGTATGAGAAGATCATGTCCAACATCATATCAAGTCTGTGGCAGAGCCAGAATGCTGAAAAATTGGAGATAGTTCAGGAAGAGCCACAAGAAAGATGCATAATGAGGAAAACACACTTACAATGAGGTAACTTGCCAGGGAGCAGATTTCTACTATTACTTTGTTAGCAGATAAAGACAAAGATCCAATGGACTGGAAGCTGAAATCACCGAAGTCCAAAGTGGAACTAAGGCTAAGTCTACACTTGCCATTTAAAGCGCAAAAAGTCCCTTTTTTGCACTAAAACCCCGGGACCGTCTACACTTAATAACTTTTTGTGGTGAAACTCAGAAGTTTCACCGCAAAAAGAAAAACCACTTTCACGAGAGGCATACAGCTCTTTCTGCTGTTCTTTTTACACTGTTGTGAAAGTGAACGACACGTTCTACCTGTGTAAACACCTTTTGGCCTCCAGAGGATATCCAGGGAAAGTTCAGCACACAGTTCCATGAGGATGGCCCTCCGCATATGAAAGTTTTGAAGCCACTGGTGGTCATCCCAGACATGTATAACAATATGATCCCACCACTCTGAGCTAGTTTCCCTAGCCCAAAAACGCCATTCCACACTGCACAGCTCCTCAGTTAATGCCAAAAACAATCAAATGTTACTTATTTCCATTTCAGGCAGCTCATCAGGCATCTCTGACTGCAGCTCTCTTTGCAAGTTTAAGAACAGCTGCACTGCTAAGCGTGATGTGCAAGTGACAGCTATCAGAGTAGTGGACAGCAGTGCAGGATCCATTCCTGCTTGTAGATGAGGCGGAGAAAGCAGCCAGACAGCAGGGGTTTTTTAAAAATGCAGCAAAAGAAACAAGGAAGTAATGAGGCTGCTGGGACATGAAGCAGTGAATCACGGGGCACTGAGCAGGGACCCAGAATGTCTTCCGCTCAGCCCCTCCCCAGACCTATCAAGAGAGCTGCACTGTGGGATAGCTGCCCTACAGCGCTCCTCTCATCAGGGATGGAAGTGCTGCTAGTGTAAATACTCTCTGACACCTAAGGACTTAAGTGAATACACAAACCAGCGCTTTTCTTTTCCCGGTTCCCTATCACCAGTGAAACTTACAGCGCAAAAACTCTGCACGTGTAGACATAACCTAAGATATAAATGGGTAATTTACCATTGAACAAATTCCCAAGGGATGGCAAGATTTGAAATCTTTCTAAAAGATATGATCTAGTTTCATTCCAGAAATCTTTGAACTTAGCTAAATTCTAGTGCCTCTGTTATGCAGGAGGTCAGATTAGATAATCATAATGGACCCTTCTAGCCTTAAAATATATGAAAGGGAACCTTTTACACTAAGATTAAATAAAGGGAATTCGTATCATTTGAGTGACTAATAACCTATACCAGGTGTCGGCAACCTAAGGCACGCGTGCCAAACATGGCACCCAAGCCGATTTTGAGTGGCACGCTGCTGCCTGCCCGGTGAGAGGAGGAGGAGGAGGAGGAGGAAAGCACCACGCTGGGGGAAGAAGCGGGGGAGGGGGGAAGCTTGGCTGCCGCAGGACCAAGCTTCTGCCTCCAGAGCGGGGGGGGGGGGGGGTGTCCCTGCCCCCAGCCCCACTCAGCCTCCCCACCCACCGCTCTCCCCTACGGGGGCAGGAGGCAGAAGCTTGGTCCTGCGGCAGCCAAACTTCCCCCTTCCCCCGCTTCTTCCCCCAGCGTGGTGCTTTCCTGCCCCTCCTCCTCTCCTTCCCTGAGCCGATCAGCTGATGGCCCTTGTGGGGGGAGGAGTGGCAGCGTGCTTCCTGCTCCATAGAGGAGGCAGAGAAGAGGTAGGGACAGGGATGGGACGGGGCATATCCCTTCCAGCCCCCTGCCCTGAGTCGCTCAGGGCAGGGGGCTGGGAGCACCCCCACGAGCCAAGCACGCCAGCCTTCTGCCCTGAACCCCCCCCCCCCCCACCCGGCCTTCTGCCCTATACCCCCACACACCCCCAGCCCTCTGCCCTGACCCCTGAACCTCCCCCCACACCCAGCCTTCTGCCCTGCACCTCCACACACACCCCAGCTTCTTAAACATTTTGAAAACCTTGTTTACTTTACGTACAACAATACTTTAGTTATATAATATAGACATAGAGAGAGACCTTCTAAAAACGTTAAAATGCATTACCAGAACGTGAAACCTTAAATTAAAGTGAATAAATGAAGACTCGGCACACCACTTCTGAAAGGTTGCTTACCCCTGACCTATACATACGCCAAAAGCAGCACTTCTTCTAGGATGCAAGCAAAGCTGTGCATCATCTCATCGGAATAGCATATTGACAAGTTGCATGTGTAAATCCTAGACTACTATACACATTTCACAATACCTATAATAGTCCTGAGCCAGTTGATTGGTTTCAGGGAGCTCCTGCTTTTAACCAGCCAATACTTAAATAGTTCCTGTACAACTCACCTAGTCACTGTAAAACTTCTCTCCCTTGGCTAATCATAGTCGGTTATGATGAAAATTTCTGTTAGTTAATAAAATTACATAACACCAGAGAGCCCAAACTCTCACTATGACTGACTTTTTACAGTTCGTAGTTTTTAAACTAGAGGGGCCTGAAAAATCATGAGACTTTGACAGTGAAATCTTTTGGGGGCAATTTTTAACTCATTAGAACTCAAACCATTTAACGAAGTTTGTTTAAACTTTTCTGAAAATTCTAAATTTACTCAGATTATATACTGAAAATTTTGGACAGAAACTGTTTTTCCTATAAAACACTGTTTTCAGAAAAGATCTACAATGATATGAGGTCTGTAAAACCTGCCTTTAGAAACTATTTAGCTTATCCAAGAGAAAGATAAGAGGTGGTAGCTTGATCACAGTCTACAAATACCTCAATGAGGAGAATATTTATGATGATAGAACGCTTTTTAGTCTAGCAAACAATAGTATAATGGCTATCCAGTATCCAACGGCTAGAGCTGAAGCTACCAAAAGTTCAGTCTACAAATAAGGCATAGATTTTTAACAGTGAGGGTAATCAATCACTGGAACAATTTACCTAGGGATGTGATGGATTCTCCATCACTTGAA